TTTTTTTTTAGTTTTATTATTTTTATATTATTATTTTTTTGCCATGTGTATTAATATGCCACGTTATCTCATAACAGTGAATTAATAGCACACGTAATGAGATTTTTAACGAAAAAACCAAATCAAAGATTTTTTCAGTTTAAGGATCAAATCAAGGATCTATACAATAGTTTAGGGACCAAAATGGGGTTTTAATCTTAAATTTTTTACATCTCAAAATACCTACTCAATTAAATATTAAATGTGCACCTCACATTTGCTTTGCGTAAGGTTCACAAGCTTTTCCACGCATCACTTTCTTTGTTTCAATATCAGTACCCCATCCAGACTCGGTCAACAACTCATCTTCTTCCTCCTTCCTCAGACCAACAAGAATCATGGATTTCTCTTTTAATCTGCTACCTATAGCATTGTTTTTAGGAGGACTGGCCCTGTTTTACAATCTATGGAGACAAAGGAGTTCTAGAGACGGTGAGAAGGTTGAGTTACCTCCAGAACCCTCAGGTGGTTTGCCGTTCATAGGCCACCTACACCTGCTCGGTGGGGGAAAGCCTCTTTGCCAAATATGGGCGACCATGGCAGACAGGTATGGTCCCATCTTCACCATCCGCCTGGGCGTCCACAGCACCGTTATCATAAGCAGTCATGAAGCAGCCAAAGAGTGCTTCACCACAAACGACAAAATATTAGCCACCCGGCCAAAATCAAACGCCGGAATACACCTCGGTTACAATTATGCAGCCTTCGGGCTCGCATCTTACGGCGCGTACTGGCGTCAGATGCGTAAGCTAGCCATGCTTGAACTTCTCTCCAGCCGTAGACTCGAGACACTAAAGCACATTCAAGTGTCCGAGATCAACGAATTCGTAAAGGATTTGTACTTGCTTTGCCAGAAGAAGCAGATCATGGTTGACATCAGTCAAAGGTTTGAACTCCTGACCTTGAATATGATCATAAGAATGATTGCGGGGAAGAGATATTTCTCTGGTTCTGAGAATGGAGATGATGG